CAATTTCTTTTGTGTTGTTTGTTTTTTCAGAAGCCCATCGAGGGTCCTCAGGCAGCAGGGCCATGTGAGGACTGCAGGGACACTCGCAGCATATGGAGGGAGCTGGTAAGTGTTAAAGTGGATTACTCTTAATCCCCTGAACTAAATCCACATACTGTACACTTACACAACATGTTAACTAACCAGCAACAAATACTTCATGATCAAAAAGAAATTAATTTACAAATTCAGTCAAATCTGAAATCAGCCAGAAATGCGAACCAGATCAATCCGCTGGTTAAGAGCTGAACACTAAACAAATGTAGTTTGTAGTTTTTTAATAAATACAAATGGATGCTGTGGTCAAAAAATTTGCATAATAATTGAATTGATGGAGATGACTCTCGTTGCTTTGATTGATTTGTTTTGTTGTGATTTGGCGCTTTATAAATAATTTGAATAGAATTGTAAAAATTATCCACAGCAACAAAGCATTATTTGTTTCCTTTCTTTACATAATGAGCTTAAAAACAGGCCGGAGAAATAACACAACGCTATGATCCATGTAAGGAGGTCTAATTAGGAAGTGAAGTAAAATAGCTGCATTTACAGGCCTGACAGCAGGTTGTTACACCAAAAGTCTGAGTAATCATTATACATGTTGATGAAAGACAAAGAAAACTGTCACCAAGCAAGCTCTCAGCCATCAACTACATTCACCTCTGCAACAGGTAAATAAAGAGCAGAAGCTCCATTTTAATCCAGGAGGCTGAGAAAATAAACGTGTGTCAGTCAGTTTAAAGATCGTAGACAGAATAAAAGGAATTTTTGAAGCTGGACTCTTACCTATTTTTACCTTTAGACTCATGATATGAAGGATCATACCTACACTGCCAAATGTATTCACTCATCTGCCTTCACACGGATATGAACTTGACATTGCTTTCACAGTCTGCAGGGTTTAATATGATGTATTTATGGACGTTGCTTCGTGCAGTCATGTCGGTACAGGAAGGGGCCATCCCCAAACTACTCCCACAAAGCTGGGAGCTGAAATTGTCCAAAATGTCTCAGTATGCAGAAGCATTAAGAGTTCCTTTCAGTAGAACCAAGGAACCGAGTCCTGAAAAACACCCGCACACCATAACCCCCCCTCCACCAACCTTTACACTCGGTCAGACTAGTACCGCTCTCCTGGAAACCTTCAAACTCCTCCAATGGACTGCCAGATAGAGACGCGTGATTCGTCACTCCAGAGAACACGCCTCCACTGCTCTACAGTCCAGTGGTGACATGCTTTGCACCACTGCATCCAACAATGAGTGAAATTCAGGTCAAATGGAAAATGAATTCATGAACTGAGCTGAGCTCTGAAACGATCATTCTACAGCGGACCGTGGATGGAAACGTATAAAAGCTGTAAGGAGAGTCTGTGTTCAGAAGGATACGAGTGGCAGGCTTTCCTGCTGACAGCAGAAACTGGGACCATTTCTTGAGAGGTTTTGTGGATGTTTATTGACAAGAGTTACAAGGAAAACTTTTCAGAGATTTGTTTGAATAAAACCAAGGAGAATCTAGATCATTTTCAGTTTGTACTGCATTTGTACACATGGACGACTCAATATTATTCAAGTTTGAGTCCATAAAACACTGACGTTGAAAAGGGCCACAATACAACACACTGTGTATGCTTGAGCCCATTTACACAAACACACAGGCCTCAGCTAAAGAACCAGCTATAAATTATAGTGTAAGTATAACAAACTCTCTTATTTTGGACGACTGTCTGTGGTATAATTCCACTGCAACAAGTATTAGTGCATTCAGTTCAAAAAGACTTGTGCCTCAGTAGTCAGCACTGCCTCCCAGCAAAAGCATCCTGGGTTTAAGCAGCACGGCTCCTCTGTGTGTGGTTTAGATGTTCTCCTCGTGCTTTCTCAGGTTTCTCCAGCCAATCCCATTTCTCCTGCCATCAAAAACACGCTACAGCAGGGCCGACTGTCGCAAAACAGCCCAAGACTTTCACTTCCTAGTTAAATACAAAACTTACTGTAAAAATCCACTTCATGTGCCAGAGTAGGGCTGCTCGATTATGGCAAAAATGATAATCACGATTATTTTCACTGAAATTGAGATCACGATTATTTGACGATATTTATTTAACCCTTTAAGACCTACTATAGAACCAAGTCCACCAGAGCTTATATTATTTTTTTACATGTTGTAGTGCCATTTGTGGGAGCATTTCAAGTTGCTATACATCAATACAACTGTTATAGCCCATATTTTAATAATATGTCTGCATTAAGTCCATAGTAATTACATAAATTGCAAAAAAGTGCAATAAACTACAAAAAAAATTGAAAATCGCTTTTGTTTTGTTTACATATATTTCTACTTGGAGAAATTTAAGAGGTTTATCCCTCAAAACTTTAAATACAATAAAGTTGCAAAAAATAGTTTCCCACCACAGGAAATTTATTTTGAGTGTCTTCATTGCTGTATCTCCAAAATAAAACTATTTTTATATACTGCAGGAAAAACAAAAAACAATCCTATGATGCAAATTTGCAAAGAAAACAGCAGGTGCATCATTTCACTGTGGGAAGTGTTACGAACAGCTGATAGGAACGGCAAAGCGTGTTTCTGGAATATTATGTTTTTGTTGCTGCAAACGCTTTTTATGCAATTTTTGCAAAGCTATATGTGGAACGAAACCGTGACCGAGGACAAGCTGATGGCATCAGATGTAAGTACAACTCCTCCGGTTTCATATGCAAAACAAATTATTGCGCTAGCTTACACGGTTCAGGTTCTACAGGGATTTAAAAATAGTTACGCAAAACGGAGCGTGCTGCTCTGACCGGCTTTAAAGGGTTAACAATGACTTTAAAAAATAATATAAAATAGTGTGCAACACCACTGAAGTTTGTTTTTTTTAACTCTCTTTTCAACCAACGGCAGTCACTCTCCAAATAACTTCTGCTTAGCTGTCCGAGCTTCCCTCGGGTCCTCTTAATCAGCGGCCTCCAACCTTTTTTGCGCCACGGACCGGTTTATGCCCGACAATATTTTCACGGACCGGCCTTTAAGGTGTCGCGGATAAATGAGGGAGGGGCTAATAATCGGCTCAGTCATTTTTAATGATCGTTGAAAGCCCAGATCGTAATCGTGATTAAAATTCGATTAATTGAGCAGCCCTATTATGATTTTCAAGAGGAAACAATATCGATTCACTTCAATTTTATGAGAGAAGACAACCGCATCACATTATGACAATGACTTTACATCCCTGAACAGGTTAATGACATTTTTACTGCACGTTTACTGCATGTGTTCCACATTCATTTACATCAGGAGCAAAATGAGGAGCATAAATGAGAAATGTTGAGTTCATGGGAAGTTCCAAAGAATCCTGAACCCACAGTTTCACTTTCAGCTTTACATCAGCAAAACTGAGGGACGGTTCTGCCGCAGCCCTCATTACAAGCATTAACTAAAAGGAACATTTGAATTTAACCGCTCCGAGACTGGGAGCAGGCTCCACAGACACGAACGCTCTGCTCCCGTTCTACTTTTGACATTTCTAAGAAACACAAGTAAAGCAGTCTGAGAGCAACGTGCTCTACTGGGAAAGTATGTTACCATGAGACTTGAACATATGACACTTAGGACAAACAAAAGTCTTAATTCTGGAAAACATGGCTTTGGATTTGCTCTGCCCTGTTTAACTTTGTGCTCTCTAGAAAGACTTTGGTTAATAAATGGTTATTAGATAATTGATTTTTAAGTCTCAAAATTCACGCTGATCTCATGTGATTATCCCCACCATGACTTCACTAATGTCCCACAATTTAGCGGCCAGTTCCTGATCCGTGGCTTTGTCCAAAAGAACCTGAGGCTGACAATCTGCAAAGCACTTTCCTTGCACATTGTCAACATCCGGGCTAGAAGCTACATAGACGGATGTCTGAGCTCCTTCTTCGGGGCTCCTAAACAAGCTTCGGGACAGCAGGTCAAAAAGCGGCCTAACAAACACAGCGATGTGAACGTGCCTCCCCAGATTAGTCCTCACTATGCCCGGAGTTACAGCATTCGCTGTCACTCCGCTGCCCTCCAGGCGACGGGCAAGCTCACAGGTGAACAAAAGGTTGGCTAGTTTGCTGCGACTGTAGGCAAAAGCTTTGTCATACGACTTCTCGCTGCTTAGGTCCTCGAAATTTATGTAACCGTGTTTATAGAGCTTGGAAGAGACCACCACTATGCGGCTAGGAGCTGATCGTTTCAGAAGGTCCAGCAACAAATGGGTGAGCAGGAAATGTCCCAGGTGGTTGACTCCAAACTGCATCTCAAAGCCATCCTCTGTCCTGGTGTAAGGACACTGGTAGATACCGGCATTGTTGATCAGCACATCTAGCCGAGGTTCCTCCTGTTTAACAGCAAAGAGGAGAACAGATTATTTTGTACACGGTTTACTTTTACTACTAGAAACGCACTAGATATAAAACAGGTCTGTGGCGCATGTCCACACTGCAGCATAAATGAGCTTCCTCCAAAGAGTGGGTGAGCTCATTCAGGACCAGCTCAGACGACAGCCGCTACATACTTAGAAAACCAGTGACTTATTCCCACACTGCAGAGCTGCTCCCAATTTGAGGATGCCGCCACCTGCCAAATCCCACTTTAACCTATTTTTCCACCAGGAAGAAATATAAATATTGTTAATTAACTACAAGCATTCAGTGGTATGTAACCCAGTACTGTGGACTGTCCAGCCAGTCGGGTGACACACTGTATGGATATTCAGCAATGCTGAAGGTTTTCTCCATCTGAGTCTTTTCAGCGTGTCTCAGTTCAGTACTTTGCATGTTTTGGACTCTTTCACTTCCACAGCTGGTCCACTGTGTTCCATAAGATTTCTTTAATTCAACTTCTGTTGTGTTTTGTGGGTTTTTGCTGTTGAGTTTTCTTGAGTTGCAGTGGGTTTGACCTCTCAGGGCCACTGGCTGGTAGCCTCTTTCTGTTCCAGCATGAGTCTGCACCAGCGCCCAAGGTCTATAAAGGCATGACTGGTGTGGATGAACGTGACTGGTCCACACAGAACCTTGATAAAGCCTAAAGAAAGCCTTTTCCAGAAGAGTGGAAGCTGTTTGAGCTGCAAAGGGTAGAGCAGCTCCATATTAACGTCTTGGGATTTTATATGGAAAGTCAGAAAGGCTCGTTTATGTGTTATGTGTACATGGCCCAACACTTTTGTCCATTTAGTACATGTCAAATAAAACGCGGGTGGCGTGTAATCCCATGTTTGGGGCTCTGGCGATGACACAAGTAACAAAAACAACTATATCGCTACCTTGATTATGTCTTCACAGAATGCGCGTACAGATGTCAGTGAAGCGAGGTCCAGCTGTTTGACCACCAGCTGTGTACTTTCTGCACCGGTGCCTTGCTGGATGTCCCGAGCTGCCTCCTCAGCCTTGTCCAAGTCTCGGCAGGCCATTATTACACGACCCTGGAGCTTCACAATGCCGGCTGCTGTGGCCTTTCCTATCCCGCTGTTAGCACCGGTCACAATAACCGTCTTTCCCTTCATCATTCTGCGGATTTAAGTTGGTACAGGACTCCAGAGTTCAACTAACCAACCACTGCATCCCCCAAACCAGCAGAAGCCTCAAACTAACAACATGACGGCTTCTTTTGGGGGGATTTTTGCGGTTGGCAAACCAGCTAAAAGGTGCATCAGCACCACCTACTGGACTGGAGTGTGGCGTGCGCCTACAGGAAGGAAAGAAAAACAAGCATTTTAATTCTTTCTTTATTAAACCTGTCGTGCTCACAGATATCATCAGTTATTCATAATCCTGTGACATAAGCTTTCTAAGAAAGGCTACGAAAGTAAAAGGAGTCTTAAGCTAATTTATCTAGTAACAAGGAAGGTCGCCGGTTCAATCCCCAGCTCTGTCTGTCCTGGTCGTTGTGTCCTTGGACAAGACACTTCACCCCACCGCTTACTGGTGTTGGCCAGAGGGGCCGATGGTGCAATATGACTGCCTCGCTTCTCTCAGTCTGCCCCAGGGCAGCTGTGGCTGTAACTGTGGTTTGCCTCCACCAGTGTGTGAATGAATAGTGGCATTGTAAAGCGCTTTGAGTGTCTAGAAAACCGCTATATAAATACAATCCAATAATAATAATATTAATAATAATAATAATATTATTATTATTATTATTATTATTATTATTATTATTGTAAAGTTCCTATTAATGCCTTCTTTCCTGATCACAGGCCCAACACTACATGTTGGACAGCTGTTTGTTTGTGTGCTTTTTCTGAGATGAAAGATGTTATTTCTTGTATTTGTGCGTTCCATCACAAACATGTTTTTGAATATTGTATAGATCCCTTCTTGTGTTGTTGACATCCCTTCTTCTGCCACATTTGTTGGATCTGGCTGCTTATAATTCTTTGAACGTGAGCGTTGCAAACTTCCACCTTTGCTTAATGTTTTTTGTTGTCTGCATTTTCTTTTTTATAAAATTGGTCTTATGGAGATCCCAAGTGCTCCCCTGTCTGCGTACTATTTGGCTGATGATTCCTATTGTTCTCCAAACAGAAAATCTAACCCCACTTGAACAGTATACCTTTTAAGCTTAGCTTGTGCTCTTTTGTAATTAATAATTGTTTCTATTCAGCGGTGCTTTTACTATGTCTGCTCTTACCTTGCTACACTGCTCATTCCACCAAGCACTCCTTTGAACCCTGCCCCCCTCCTTGTAATTGTTTTTTCTGCAGCCTGTATCCTTTTCAAGCTTTATGTTAAAAACCTCCACACTTATATTCTCCCTAAGAAGTTCTTCACACCAAGTCTTGCTTAAACTGCTCCACCAAAATTCAATTCGTGCTCTGTGCAACATTTCTTCCTGAATTTCTATACCTACATTAATTTAACCTTAACATAAGGTAAGGGTCGTTATCAGTGTTGCAATATCTTATATTTCTAATGATGACAATGTTACATTTTTTGTGCTTTCCATAATTTTGTAAACTACTATATACTCAGCAAGAGCCATTCAGTTCATCACTGCCCATATTATATCTAACTGACGGCCTGTTCAGGGTCTACCCCTGCAATCTTTAAGAAAGGGGATACTTTTTATTTATAGGCTCGGCTGAGCACAGTTGTGTAATAGCCTGTGGCAGTTCCTACAGTCTGTGATGATCCATTCCTGTATGAACACTAATTACAAATGCATGTGCTTTGCTTTCCGAGTGAGCGCAGCCTTGGCTGTTGGGGTTGAAGATCTGTTCATGGATGAGCCTTTGGGGCCCTCTGGTGGAGCAAAGGCAAACAGTGACACGAGATGATGAAGAAACACGTATTAATAACATAATTAGAGTCATGTGATTGAATACAAACAGTAGTTATAATCAGTGGTATCGGCTTTATTTCAGACACTGGCAGTCAGAAAGAAAGCTACTTATGTCTCCTTCCTTATACACAAGTAATCACGCCACATATTTGACTTGGCAGACTTTTACGCCTTTCTGACAGGACGCCCGAGGGACTTGTGTCTCCTCCACATATTTACACTGTGGAGCCACGAGTGTAAATATTGGCAGTTACACGTACAGAGGCATACGAGTGACATTTTTGAGGTCATGTATTTCTTACAGTCTATGTCCTGCAGACGAAAGTGAAATACCAGGGTCAGATACCAGCTATATTGGTGGATATATAAGGTGTTTTTCTACCACATTTTAGAGGAAATGTGGTACATTTGACTCCAGCAGTCATGTGACAGCTTAAGTGTTACATTTTTGATTAGAATGAGCTTTAATAAAAGTCAAATCTCAAAGACAGTCAGGAACAAAGGCCTGGCTGGAGAGATGTGATGAACACAGTCAAAGGGAGAAATGTGATGATGTGTGACAAACTGACTGAAAATACACTCAGAGTGGGAACAAGCTGCAGATCGAAAGGAGTGAGATGAGGTACCAGGTGTGGAAGGAAATACTTTTAAAATAAAACAGGAAATAAATAACATATAAAAGTCCTAATAAAATCCAACACCGTGGCAATAAATTCACATTAAATATGGCACAAACATAAAATGGTATTGTAGACAAAAGATGTAATGTCTCGTCTTCTTCTTCATTTTGTTGCAGTCGCTGGAGTGAACAGCTCCCCCTCTGTTTCTACTCCCTAATGCCAGCGTTATTAAGGTAAACATCGTTGACTGGTAGGTTTGTCTGCTCCGTCTGTGAGGTCACACCGGTCTGCTGGATGAACTGCTGCAAGTTACATTGCCTCAGCTCTTTGTTCAGCTCCTCAATAATCTCCAGTCTGTCCTAGAAGACACAACAAGTATTATATTACCGGAGAACATTGTATCCACGAGCTGATATATCTTACTGTTCTTCAGGGCTGCATCGTTGCCTCCGCTACTAAAAATACAGCAGTGCATCTTTAGTCACACCTTTGCACCAAATGAGACACATTTCAAAAGAATGGAGTGATGACCTGTCCTCCTCCCTCCCTGGAAGGCATTGCAAATGCTCAGTACCATCCCAGAGCCAGAAGTATTATCCAAGACCTGTTTGACCTGCTGCCCTCAGCAGGCACTACAGTCGTCACCAGCTTCTTTCCTAAAACGCTGTTTGGCTCTTATGCAACTTTTACAGTCTGCAGTAACATCACTGGTTTAATAACTAAAACTTTCAGCTCAACAGTCAGTTTCTTAACATTACACTGATCAATTAAGACTTTTCCTTCATTTGAGTTAATTAAAGTCCTTAGTTTTTGTTATCAGTGGCTCCACAGAGTACTTCTTAATACATTCGACCAACATACAAACAAATTCCTGGGAGAGTTGTGTCAGAGAGGGAATGTGGTGTAAAAACACATGCCCACATTGAATTTGCAGATTAACCCTTTTGTTTTTTGGTTAACACCAACTACTTTGCAAATGTGTTAATTACTGCTTAAAAGTATTATTTCAGTGCTCTCATTTCCACTGTTTCAGTTTCTGTGTGTGTCTGATCTCACCTTGTTACCGGGTGTGGTGAGGATTATTGGAAAAGTGTGATCCTTTTCAGGCTATTATTCATGCATTCAGAAAAAAGCAGGAGGACGGAGGATTAATGCAAAGACCAACAAAAACCTGTCTGTCAGCTTTAGCCTGCACTTTCCCATTTACAGCGTCTTTTGCCAGTTGGGCGTGTCTGGAAAGTTTCAAGTGTGCAGTGGCAAATTTTTCTCATGTCAGCTATAATATTACGCAGCATTATGTATCATACTTTTCTTTCATTTCATCATCTCACATTAGCTCTATAATGGATCTAGCTAATATGAACCCTGATGTGCTGCTGAAACAAGTCTTACAGTAGTTTTTGTGAGATCAACCCTTCAGTTTAGGTAGAAATGATTGAAGAATTATACCTTTACCCTTTCCTCAGCCGTTTCCATCTCCTGCTGTGACTCAGCCAGTCTTACATCGAGTTCTTCTCCTAGCTGCAGGCGGTTGTGGAGCTCCTGCTTCAGGGACTTCAGGGACTCATCTTGCTGTGCTGTCAGAGAACTTTGCGTTTGGACTCTGACTTGCAGGTCCTCTTCTAGATGTGCAGAACGGGTTTGGAGTGTAGTGATTTCGTAACTTTGATCGTTTATGGATGAATGAATCTGATCCAGGCGCCTGTGCATACCTGTTGATAACAGTGTTAATGATTTTTGTTTTAGAAATGCAATCTGGAATGCACCAAAAATGTTGGGAATGTAAACAGATATGAGCACATACCTTGTTCTCTTTCCATCTCTGCCTGTAATGCTTTCTCCCAGTCTTCCGTCTGCATCAGCTCTACCTCATTCTGTCTCACTCTCCACTGCAGTTCCTCCAGTTCTTCAGCAAAAGCCAGAGTTACTTCAGGAGATGACCACTTCTGCTCCCATAACTCAGTCTCTCTTTCCAGATCTTGAAGCTGAATCTCCAGATCCTGTAGTCTTCTCTGTTGCTGCAGAATATCCCTAAACACCTCGTCTTTGGGGTAAGAAGGATTTGTCTTCATGGAGTTCACAGGGTCTAGGAAAGATACCGGTGAGGCCCTCAGTTCTGGTGAGGATCTGGGAGATCGAGACCAGTCCTTCTTTGGTTTATTCCTTTTGGGAAGTGTTGAGGGACCCAGACTAAATGTCAGAGCCTTTTGTGGCTCTCTGCGTTTGAGGGGCTCTGGTTCTGAGGGTCTGGAAAGTGGAAGACGTCTCTCGTTGGCGGAGGTGTCTGGACCCTCGCTGAGGCTCGGGCCGGTCCTCCGCAGAACGAACTGGACCTCTGTGGCCAACTGTCCCAGCTGAGCCAGGTGCTGCAGTGGACAATCATCAGCAACCAAGTGTCTCTCATTCCCTCGTAACTTCAAAATGAGAATGTAACGACCTGTCTGACCTGAGCAGGGATACATAAAGGCTTAGTTTTTAACTGATCAACATATTGCTAATAACATGAAATGCAAATATCAGCTGAATGTGGTGCAGAGTGTCTTCGGTGTTCACAACTGCAAACACCAAACTAACACCATTCTGATAACAAAGTAATTCAGTGAGCGTAAAATGAGAATTTTCATTGTTAGTCAGACTGAGAGACTTACCGATTGCTTGTGCGAGAGCTATGACGACATCCTGACAGGAAGTGTTTAGTGATAGGCCACTAACAACTCTGACCACACCCTCCACCCACACCTTCAGCTCCATTGTTCACACGCAACACCAACTTTTACCTACAGGGTGACACATAAACATCTGTAAACTACACCAATAAACAGTCAATACATTATAAAAATAAACAGTTGCAGTTTGGCAGTAATGTCAGGCTTCCACAAAGATTAAATGTATAAGTCTGCTGTCAGAAATACATACGGTAGCTTTGACCTTTATTTGCTGCATCTGCTCATAAGGCAAAGTTGCAAACACTGAGTTTGTGTTTTATTGTGCTTAGAGTCTAATAAGTACAAATATCAACAGAACAATTTTCTACATTGTGTTCTACACTCAAAACTGTTCATAAAAATACTTCCAGCAGAATGATTAATCCATCAGGCATGCTCCCATCCATCCACCTGCTTAACTGCCTATTCAAAATATTGTAATATTTTTCTATATTTTTATGTATAAATATATTTTTGCACTATATATTTGTTAAATTGCAGTTACACTAATCTAATTGTAGTTCTATTTATATTTTATAAGGAACATATGTAACCAATAAAAATAGCAAATCTGCCTTCTCCTATAATCTTTAGAGCACAAATTTATTTGTATGTATCTATTCATGTATACAACATGTTGTATGTGTTTGGTGCTTTGTTTTTGTACCTGCTGAAGGTCTGTTTGACTGAAATGTTGGGATTTAATAAAATAATTGTAGGCAAGATCTATTTTTCTCTCTGATGGACAATTAAAACACTACTTTTTGAAGTATATGAAATAACATACAAGTGGCTTAAGACAGATTAATATTCATTGTTACATATTTATTTTCTTATGGTTTTATTTAAAGTTGTAAAATTACTTACTATTACCAGTACGTTTCACTATGAATAGTTGAACTTGATGGACTTTTCCTATTGCAAAACTTTGCTGCCAGTCTTACAAAACTGTTGGAAATGATACCAATTTTGTCCTGTTTGGAAGTTGTAGGTAGTCCCAAGTCACAAACAACAATTCTCAGAAAAATGATGTTGAATTTTATAAGCCAGCACTGGAGGTAACTAGAGGGGTCTGAGACTCTGAGGTGGAGTGCAGGAGTCTGTGGAGAGTGGGCAGGCAGGTTTGTGTCAGCGGGCTGCAGGAGGAGAAACAGGACGACTGTTCCTCCTGAAATCTTGGCTGGGAGCTGGAACCAATTTCACATGGACAAACTGATACCAGCACTCGGGTTTTCTCACACACTCTGCACTTTTTTTGCAAGAACAATAACAACAACAAAGGCTTTGTAGAAGAGCAGCCAGAAGAAAAGTAGCCTGTTTAAAGGTATCTGACTTATATAGCAAATAATTCTCTGTATTTCCACTGACACTGAAAAGGCCAGTTTACACCCTAATGAGACATTCCTCTATGCTCTAAGACAAATGTAGGAAATACAGACCATTACAACACATGTTGCTTTCACTTCCTATCACCTGGTAAATGGATGTGTTCGTATAAAGCACTTTTTCTACTCGACCTGAGTATCTTGCCCTAACCCATGCAGGAGCCAACAACCAACCACCTTTCGATTAGCAGATGACCAGCTCTGTGCTCTAGCCACCCCCGAACCCACCTGAATATTAACATTTTAAATCATTCATTTAAAAATCCGTCATCAATAAGCTCTACACAGACACTGTAAGCTTACCCAGATTCTTTCCTGAAAGCAACTCGTTTGAAATGTAATTGTTAAAAATGCACTCTTTCATGTTGATATTATACAAGTGGTGATCAACGCTGTCCCACTGCTGAGTGTATACTCTGTATTTTCTCTAATCCTCTGTGGATCGGAGAAAAAAACATCAAACTTGTGCACTCAGCGCTTTCTGTTTGCTGTACAATCCTGGAGAACAATTCAAAGACATCATTAAAAGCCCAAAGTTACCATGACATTTATGTCCACGATGTGTGTATGTAAACTTACTCCCAGTTACAGTTGATGGAATTCTACTCAAACTGTTTGTTTTTATCTAATCAGGTCAGGGAATCTTTTGCCTCGTAGCTTGTTGCGTCAGTCCTCCTCCATGCAGGTTGCTCAAAGACGTACTGTTCTGTAACCTTTCTTTCACCTCTCCATTCTTCTTGCTTGGTTATCCACTTGGTCTAGGCGGCCAATGTTTTTAAGACTGCCTGTTCCAGACTTGTTTACCACACTGCTCTGCAAACACTCAGAGCTCAGTCTTTGATCTGATGCACAATGTAAATTCTGGGACCTTGTATAAACAGGTGCAATGGTTTCTTAATTATGTATAGAAAAAAACATCTAAATTATGACTGGTCATCTGTCTCTGTGCGTTAGCCCAGCAGTGGACTGGAGATCTATCCAGGCAAACTACCAAATGATTAATACTGTATTCCTGCTCCTATGTCTGTGAAGGTTCTCAGTCATCCAGGTCTAAGAAGTCTAAGAAGCTTAGAAAGAAAAACGTCTGGACTTTTTTGAAGACGTTTCACCTCTCATCCGAGAAGCTTCTTCAGGTCTAGGAGCAACTGGTGAGGAGTCCCAGATTTTAAGCCCTATTGGGGTGTCCCCAAGGGGGACATGGACCCCCTATTGAACCTCTACCCAATCACACGAGCCAAGATATGAAAAAAAAAGACAAAAAAACGGGTGTAGGTCACAATCAGCAAAGGTTTTGGGACTCTCCACCAATTGTTCTTAGAACTGAAGAAGCTTCTTGGATGACAGGTGAAACGTCTTCAAGGAAACTTAAAGAAGTCCAGATGCTTTTCTTTCCAAGCTCCTTAGACATTCCTGGTCCGAGTAAAAAGATGTACTGGGTGGTTTTCGGGTGGTTTGTCAAAGTAGTGTGTTGCTGTACCTCAACAGAAGCTGTTGTTTGACTGATGTGGGAATATCTAGTTTCCATCAGTTCTTGACGAACTGCATATTACTGTAACATTACATGCCAATAGTGTCAGTTCAGCCAGGAAATCCATAAAAAGTTAATGTCAGTAAAGCCTTTTGTGTTGGGATTGTAATGAGACCGAAAAATCTTCAGGAGGTTTCTGGAGTGACAACAAATATTTTTGGTGAAAATGGGCTGATTTAGGATTGTTAATCCATCATCATCACCGATATTCTGTCACAGGTCAGTTAATTAGACAAAGACCAGCCTTGCAGCCAACAGTGGTGCTTCCCGGCACATTCAGTGAACATTAGAGGGTTTTTCCTGGCTAAGATTCCTGTAACGTTGCAAATATACATGACTGGTGATTGATACAAAATTGAGTTCCTTACTTAAGACAAGTGTGATAAACTAAAGTGTAATCCATACTGGAGCCAGAGGGAGATTTTTTTTAAACGACTCTATTCTTGTCACATTTTAGGGGAACCCTCAGAGTGAGCAGTTTAACATATGTGCATACTTACATTTCAAACAGGTGTTTGAAGTGTGGGCAGGTTTGTGTTTGTGTCATGTGTTTGCTGGGAAAGACGCGCGGCCTCACTGAGCAGGAATGAAGCAGAACATATTGACATTCCTGAAAGAGTCAGACTCCTCCCACACATACTCCAGTCTCTGTTTACTAAATTCCACTGCCCAGCATCAGTTTCAGTGTCACCATCATTAAGAAAACAGTAGGTGCTATCACGCCCTTAAAAATACCATGAAACTGATTTTCTTTATGTGGAAAATGCTGATTTTCACTTTTATAAGACCTGTTGGGTCTTGATGGGTCACAAATAAATTTTTGCCTAAAGTATCAGCCTCTGTGTTACCTTTTTACCTTTTTTTGTAATGATTGACATTAAATTTTAGTCCACATCCGAAGATTTTGTTCTTCATATAGGATTATTTTGGGGGTCTTTTCAAGCTATTTTGCTTAAGTTAACCAAATCACAGCTTTGTCTTTGATTTGATAAACATGACAGGACATTTTATGCAAAACAATTTCTAATGCACGGATACAATTAAATAACGGAAAAACATTTAGTAGCTGAGTGAGGTGATGATTTCAGAGCCTGTTGGCACTCTCCTCGAGTCTGTAATCCTGCTGAAATGATGGAACATCGTCCTTTCACAGATATTACCCCATTAGCTGTTTTGATGGTGGTGCTGGACAGCACTGTCTAACTATAAATCTCCCACAGGTGTTCAATTTGGGTCGAGAGCTACACACTATAAAGGACATGCCAAATGATTCCCAGCAGTTTTCTCCTCATCAAACCGCTCAGTGAGCTTTTCTGTTAGTTTGTCTCTCATCTGTGTTTCACTTCATTGTTAGTCATTTCTGTAAGGGTAATCTAAAACACTTTATGTGTAATGCTTTTTAATAATTCAAAACTGAGAGATAAGCAGAGACAAATGTTGTACACTTACCTTCTATTTCAGTTTCTCTCTGCTTCACTGAAGGTCCCGCGGCTGTCAGTCTGTTTCGTGGTCGGCCTGCTGAGCAGCTGAACGGCTGTGACTCAAACACACCTACGGACTCAGCTGAGGAGGAGGAGGAGGAGAAAGAGGAGTGCAGCTGTGGAATGCAGCTCTTCTGGGTGTGCTGCGTGTAATGTGATGTCACTGTGAAAGTACTCGGAAGAAGTAAAGTGCATTTACTGTAGCGGATTTTTTTGTGCCACAATCATCCTGCAGGAAATCACCGGCTTTTGTTCTGAGCTTGTTATCTTTTTCTTTTCAGTCCTTCGTGAAAATGCCTCAAACCACCACTACAAGTTCCCACCAGACAGGTCCACCTGTGCTTACTCATTATTCACTTTTTCCCTAAATTCTACAGCCTGCATCTGCCTGATTTTAACAAAGTCATGTTAAACCCACAGCTTTGAGTTGCACTGGTGTGATCCTCTGTTGCAGAGAAAAAGTTTCAGTGCTTTTACTCCAGCCTGTGGCTCCAAGCAGTGATGTCACTGTGACGCTGAAACTGGGCTCCTCCCAAACTAAATAGGAGATAAAAACAGAGAGGAGTGGCTCCTCCCACCAACTTGTTCTTTCTGCACATTTCCAACATTCCACTTCGAGGTATTAGTCTCTCCTTTTCTCCTTTTGTCCTTTGCTCTGTTTCCTACTCTGTGTTTCAGTGTGTTTCAAGTTTTATTGTCATGTACAGATAAACAGTGTAGCCACATTTATCCATAATGCATTTTCTCGTGCTCCTCAGCCTTACATGAGCATATAGAGAGTGCAGTTATATTACGAAGAAAACAACAGAATTTAGCAGTTGTAATAATAATGATAATAATAACAATGAAAAGGAGAAAAGGAGAGAAAAAAGTAATAAATATTAGAGAATTTAAGACCAGTTGGTATTTACAAGTTTGTACAGGAGTATTTACAGGTTGAAATGGTTTTGTATGCGTCCTTTCAATGCAGCTGGTTACAGCACCAAACCAACAGCAAACATCAGCATCAGGATGAAGATAAATGAAGCTGAAGTCGTGTTTCCATGTAGCGTTTCTTTTACTGAAGTTATTATTTTGTGTGGCCCTACTGTATACCATTTATACATTGACTTTATGAATTAGGTCTAAAGATCTCATTCAGTTAGACTGGAAATGTTGACAATGGGAGGAAACCAAGTAAAAGTCTTTCAATCTCTCATCAGGACAAACACAAACTGGTTTGTAGTCAGGTCCCATTGAAGACTGTGCTCAAACACAGAGGCCAGTTATTCATGTGAATTAACATCTTGACATCTCCCTCGACTGGTACAAAGATGAACTGGAAATATTCCTTTTTATGGATGGACAGAGCTGCTCTTCAGCAGTGAAGCAGCACTGTACCACAAACAGCCTTGTTAATCGGTCGATGTTCAGTGGCTCATTTTACTCAAGGTCCGGTTAATCCACGGTTGCAGAAAAAAACAGGACAATGAAATCTTGCTAATGTTGTGTGAAATTGATGAACCATTTATTTATTTCCCCAAATTAAATTTTTTGTGCCTCGAGATCTCTTGGCCAATCCCATTTTTGATGTTTGTGTTACTGAGAAATGCCTTAGTAACCTGCCAAGTCCAGAACTCATCAAACACCAGTATCATAGAATATCAATGATACTTGATCTTCTATGATACTGGTGCATGATACTGTATCATACACCAGTATCATTCATCTGCCTTTTCATAATTCTACACCTATGAGTTCCTTAAATCCATAACCCTCCCCCATTTTTCTTATGATCAATTCAATATCTTTGAAAAACTTCATCTCAAGACGAATGATTTTGTCAGTTTGAAATCACGTGGACCGGATGGTTTCCCTGCTGAGCTCTGCAAACATTTCTAATAACTTTTTCCCTTCTATTTATAAGAACGACTTCAGAATGTAGCTCCACTCAGCTGATTACTAGACACCGTCTCCTATAAATACAGACATTAAAATTCCAAGTAAGGGCTCAGCATCCAGATTAGATAAAGTGATTAAATTTGCCCTCTCATTCACCCTGACCAGACAGGTTTTATTAAAGGCTGACTATCTATCAGTGCTTGCAAACCCAACACTTTAATGCAGCTGTCCCACATTAGTAAATCACAGTAACGTTATCATGTAGAAAAAGCATTCAACAGGGTTCACTGGAAATGTCTTTTTGCAACACTAGAAACATATGGGGAATCATTTATTAGCTGAATCAGGGCTCTTTGTATTTCCTCAGTGACCACCGTCACCATCAGTTAGTTGATAACATTCATAAATGGTAAATGGCCTGTATTTATATAGCGCTTTTCTAGTCCCTAAGGACCCCAAAGCGCTTTACATATCCAGTCATCCACCCATTCACGCACACATTCACACACATTCATACAATCTCATTCTTCACAGTGGGACCTTTTTCACTAGCAGCAGCAGCAGGAGTGAGATAAGATGGAAATATCAAACGTGTTCAAACAATCATTACACAACGCATATTTGTTTTATGACTCCATTTAGACAAACATGATTTTGCAGCCCTAGTTTCTCTCACGAGGTTAATATTAAATATATCAGGATGAACATTTCCTACAAGCTTACAATCTCACTCCATCATGCCGAATAGTACAAGATGATTTCAGTCACTGCTCCAACCTTCCTGCCTCCCTTTATAAACAAACTGCAGTAATAAAAATGTCACGCTTACCTAAAGTCCATCATGTATCCACAGTAGAAAAACCTCAATCTCAAGCAGGTGTCCTGGTGCTGGGTTTGGTGAGCCAGTGTTTGTGTTTTTGATTTAATATTCTTTGATTATTGTTATTTGTGGTTCTTGGTTCTCTGGTTCTTGATCTTAGTGTTCAGTCTCAGCCCCGTGTTACTCGGTGTTCCTCGTTTCACGTCGAGTCACCCTTGTCTTTTTGTTCATCTCCTCTGCCTCCCCAGTCAGTCATATCCCTGTGTCTCACGGTTCCTGTTTTACTTTGACAGTCTCGTGTTCAGTGATTTCAGTTTTGTTTCCTCCCCGTCTCATTTTGTCAGATTAGTCCTAGCTGTGTTTCCTTCTTGTTTCTCATTCCCTTGTTATTTCTTTGTGTATTTAAGCCCTGTGTTTTCCTCTGGTGGTTGTCGCGTTGTCCCATATGTTGTGTATTCTTTGGTTTCATTCGCGGTCACCAGTTCCTAGCTTCTAGATTCCAGGTTCCTGGTTTTCAGTTTTAGGCTACATTGTCCCTGCGGGGAACGCCAGTGTATTTATGGAACGGACCCAAAAGCCGACACGGGAGAACAAAACTAAGGTTTAACACTAGGCGAGCTTTTATTGTGGCTGAATATCATAAAAAACTAAGATCAAATATGAAAAGTGTGACAAAAACATGAACAAGAACCTGGACTGGAGCATGCAAAACAATGAGGGGAAACATGAGCATGAACCTGACGAGACTCGACATGACGACAAAAGACGACCTGACAGAGGACTTAATTCCACATTGAGGGTAAGCACCCGGGGAGACACAGCTGACACCAATGAACATGACACCATAAGGAGAAGTAAAACTAAACACACACAACATGGAAACACCAGAGTCTTCAAAGTAAAACAGGAAACGTGGAGAGACGCAGACATGACGCACATGACGGGCTGGACAGGAAACATGACACATAACAAGGAGAGATGAAACAAAAACACAAGAACTTACTATCACAAACGTAACGTAATAAACTTAAAACGGTCACAGACCCAGCCCCTGCTTTCTTATTTCTGGTGTTTGAGTTGCGTCACAGCATGATAAAGCTGCCTCCTTCGGTTTACCCGTTTGTTTCGAGTCGTGCGTTTGGGTGCTCATCCTGCCTGCCACAGCGTTCTACATGACACGATTAAAAGCTCCAAACTATTCATTCTGTTTCTTGCTCAGCTGCTCTCAATCTAATTTTACCTGCTAGTTTATCAGATATTCTCAATATTTCAAAATCATATCAATAGCTGGGATTCTGACAGCTTGAATAAAGACACTTCCAACCACCAGCTCCGGTTTCACCATCCCATTGTTCCATTCTGGAACAAGCCAAACCTTATAATCAATAAGAGCACATTCAGTTTGACAAAATGGAAAGACAAAGGAATTACTGTCGACTTCATCTATTAAGATAATACTTTCATGAACTTTCAGCAGTTTTTTAAAAAGAGTATTTCTTTTTGTTTTATTGGAGGACAGACAGGAAAGTGGGCTGAGAGCGAGGGCACAGCAGAAGGCCACAAGTCAGACTGGCTCAAACAAACTTAAAACATTAAATTTGATTATCTAATGACAAGAGAGAAATTTACACGTTTATTCTATGAGACTAATACTACATGAATGTGTCTGTCTGTATTTGTTCAGATTTATAATAATGTGTGTATGTATGGACAAACAAATATTTAATAATTGCATACGTGACCATAGAACACCCTGGTTAAGAAAGCCCGTCAGCGTCTCTTCTTCCTCAGAAGACTTAGAGACTTCCATCTGCCACTGAAGGTGCTCAAGAACTTCTACTCCTGCACCATCGAGAGCGTCCTGACGGCAAACATCTGCACCTGGTTTGGGAACAGCACCAAGCAGGAC